CTTATACAAATATATCTATACAATATACAAATACACATATACAAATATTCCAGCCAATATTTTCTATACAATTTATTCTAGTAACTTCATATCTACCGAAATGAAGTCTTTATCACTTACAAAGCTAAATTTTAAATTTCTATGATCTTTCATAATGCATTTTTTTTTTAAATTAAAGCTAAAATATCAGATTCAAGAATTTTTTTAAAAAGTTTGCTTTGTGGAAGGAATACCTTTTTGTGGACATTGGAAAGAAAATTGTATCATTTCCTAAACTCAGTAAATAAATGTGTGTAATTAGTTTATTTCTGCGCACGACTGCTCATAACTTTATTCTCAATTAAATTATTGTAATTCTATTTCAACCAGGTGAGAAGGATTGGTATCACCGAGGGAAAAATCTAGCAAAACTGTAAATTTACAGCCCAATTAGTTTACTGCAGATTATGACCAACATTTCAGAGAAGATCATCAATCAAACCTTACTTAGTCAATCTTCCCACGCAATAAAATGGGGTGCTGGGCAGCGTTTTGGGTCCGATTCTCTATCTCATTTATACACGTGATTTCCCTAGAAGCTTTAGCACTGATGAAAATAGCAGTATAGAATGTAGACGATGCAGCCCTTTTATATCAATGAAGAAATCTGAATCCTAATGTACAAAAATTACAAGATAGTCTCACTAACATCGAAGACTGGCGTAGCAAGGTGGAAATTAAAACTAATGGCAACAAATTTTTTAATCATAAGAAAACATAAATCAGCAGTCCCGATAACTCTAAACCCAAATTTTTTTGATGAAGAAAACTTACTAGTTAAACCAAATATCTCGGCATCATCATAAATGAAAAGCTAACTTAGCATGACCATGTACTGTTAGAAAAGCAAGAACCACTTCAATCGTTTTCCACTCCTAAGTAGAAGATCAACGTCCAGTCTCTAGTTATATATTAATAAGACGAGATTAGATAACAAGAGGCTCGTGCATATGCTTTATATAAGAGCTGTAATAACTCATGCATCACCTGCCTGGGCAACTGCAATCAAGCATTTAATTTACATCACTGATACTACACAAACTGAAATTCTAAGACAAATAATTAATGCTCCAAAATTTATAACCAATGAAAATATCCACGAAGATCTCTACATCTACATTGTTCAAAAACTTAAAGCAAAATTCTATGGAGGTCCAAAATTGTGAAGCGGCTAACTCCTCGACTATAACACAGAATGGAACCCAATAACTTCTTTTATTTGATCAGATGCTACTAGCAGCAAATTAACGGGACTTTGTAAGCAATGATCATAGCAATCCAGCCGCAGTTCGAGTCAGCTTAATCGCAACTTCCAGCCTATGGATTTCATTTGACTTTATTTTGTTTTGTTCATTTTACTTTTTTTTTTAAATTTTATTTATAATTTTGACATTATCTCAATCACATATTTTTACTTAAACCAGGACTGAAATTATATTCGATGAATTAGCCAGTGCTGGGATAGCGGCAGGTGCCTTGTTACATTTGAAACAAGGAACTAGTATGAAGGGTCTAAGTTTACACTTGTCAATGTTCTGCCTGACTAAACTTTTCAATCGGAATTTGCTTTTCCGAAAAGGTTAACAGTGCATCTTTTTTTTTTTTTTTTTTTTTTTTTTTTTNTTTTTTTTTTTTTTTTTTTTTTTTTTTTTTTTTTCAGAAAAGTTTATAAGTAGAAACAGCATTCTATCATATTGAGGGAAGGCGGTATTTTCTGATATGACAAAGCAGAAAGTAACGCCTATTTCGAATCCTTCGAATAAAACTTTGAATAAGTACATTGTTTTCACCAGTAAATAAATATTTTAAATATATTCAATAAATATAATTCATCGAGTTTTCTTACGCGACACAAGTTTTTAAGTCTTATTTTATTAACGGCCGTTGCACTGCATCAAGTGTAAGGGTCATTTATGACAGCATTGAAGTGGTTGTTAAGAATGGATCGTTGGTGCGTTTAAGAAAGGGATTATGGGTGCGTTTAAGAAAGGTAGGAGGATCAGGGCAAAGAATATATAGGTGTGAAGAAGTCTCGCTTCTCCGATACGTAGCGGGGGCCAGCAAGGTCCTTCAGTATGGCAAGAAAAGCACCCAAGGTTTTTGAGCCAACGCATGCGCACATCGTTCCCCCGTCGTCAGCGTCTCTAACTTGTTTAACAACATATTTTTGCGCCATCTTTAAAACGACTGAGTTAAAGCGATGGAATCATCAACAGCGATANTATGGAGGTCCAAAATTGTGAAGCGGCTAACTCCTCGACTATAACACAGAATGGAACCCAATAACTTCTTTTATTTGATCAGATGCTACTAGCAGCAAATTAACGGGACTTTGTAAGCAATGATCATAGCAATCCAGCCGCAGTTCGAGTCAGCTTAATCGCAACTTCCAGCCTATGGATTTCATTTGACTTTATTTTGTTTTGTTCATTTTACTTTTTTTTTTTAATTTTATTTATAATTTTGACATTATCTCAATCACAGATTTTTACTTAAACCAGACTGAAATTATATTCGATGAATTAGCCAGTGCTGGGATAGCGGCAGGTGCCTTGTTACATTTGAAACAAGGAACTAGTATGAAGGGTCTAAGTTTGCACTTGTCAATGTTTTGCCTGACTAAACTTTTCAATCGGAATTTGCTTTTCCGAAAAAGTTAACAGTGCATCTTTTTTTTTTTTTTTTTTCGGAAAAGTTTAAAAGTAGAAACAGTATTGGATCATATTGAGGGAAGGCGGTATTTTCTGATATGACAAAGAAAGTAACGCCTATTTCGAATCCTTCGAATAAAACTTTGAATAATAATAAGCAAACTTTGAATAAGTACATTGTTTTCACCAGTAATAAATATTTTAAATATATTCAATAAATATAATTCATCGACTTTTCATACGCGACACAAGTTCTTAAGGCTTATTTTATTAACGGCCGTTGCACTGCATAAAGTGTAACGGTCATTCATGACAGCATTGAAGTGGTAGTTAAGAATGAATCTATTGTGCGTTTAAGAAGAATGAATCTATTGTGCGTCTATTAAGAATGAATCTATGGGTGCGTTTAAGAAAGGTAGGAGGATCAGGGAATGCTTGTTGTTGTGAATAATAACATAAACATACCACCCTAACCGCAAGATATCAGAAAAATGTACAAACAAAATCACCAGTATCTAAAACCAGCACAGAAATTTTCTGCGGAAACTAATACTTGGTGCACCGGAGTACCTGGCCAAAAAGGCCACCTCCGTAAATTATATAATTACAAACTGAATCAAGGCCATTGATATTAAAATTATTTGGGTTTGTAAACTTAATGTTAGGTAACTAAATAATATTGCTGTAAAGAGGAAGAAAAAAACAGAGATAACACGGACAGGTAAAAACATAAACAAACAGATAAAGTCATAAGTTCTTTAAATTAATTATTATTATTTATTTATAATTATTGACAAAGCAGTTAGTGATGATTAGCATTGTTAGTAGTGTTGTATTAGTAAATTGAATCAGAATGAGCCGCAGTAATTCCGCGAAGGATTGGGCCTACCCAAGAAGGTGGAAAAGGGAAATGATGAAAGAGGACATGAGGAGCCAGTCAGGGGGAAAGAAAAGTCAGCAATACGACTCAAACGATGCCGTGAAGATTTTTATGGTAATGGAGAATGGCCTTAGGTCGTCTCCTGCACTTAGGGTCATCTGGGTCGTAATTAGAGGAAGACCATATAAGGGAGTTGGAGTGTCCAGTGGTCTTAAGGAAATACTTAAGAGATCTATTTTTGTATAAGTCAGGAAGGCTAGACGTACAGGTGTCATTACGGATATTTTTGTTCCTGAAATACCAGGGTGAATTTGTGATATTGAGGAGGGTTTTGCAACTACAATCACTTATTAATTTCAAATACATTATAAAGCTTATAACATAATACCATTATACTTTTGAAGTTTTTTTATGTTGCTCATAACTGTGATATGAGTATTAAAAGCGGGGTTAAGCTGAAGCGTGTTATTGAATTGTGTAAAGACCGCCCTCAAGAGGTGGCAAATGAAAGACCTTTCCATTGAGCGACGCAACCAGATAGTAAGTGCGGCGTCACTGCTGTAGCGAGCATTATTTCTTATAAAGCGAACTGAAGTGGTCCCGATCTTCACATTATAAATGTTGCGACACGAATTTGATAATTGCTTATCTATGTATTCTTCTTCAACAGCTGTATTGAACGAGAACACACGGGCATGTAGAGTCTTAATTTGTTTAGCTTAAATACTCGTTTTTTTTTCTTTAGATGTTTAATAGAGTCTTATTTCTTGAACACAGGATAATTCCAGAATTATATATATTTATATATATATA